CGTACCCATACCTACGTTCCAAACAGCACGTTGTAAATGACGTTCCCGCGCTTGCTTTGGATCGTGCCTGGCGTCCATTTTGCGTGTCCGTCCCGGTAATCACGTACAAGTACTGGCTGACCCGGTTCAAGTCACGTTCCGTCTTGAGGTTCTTTCCACTAGCTGCGAACGCTGAGGACGACCGAACTGTATTAAATGGCATGCGAAGCTTTCCCTTCATCACTACCTCAGCTGGTGATATTCCACCCGACGTTTGTGGATTTTGTGTAGATCGGTACAGAAAGAGGAAGCGGTCGATCACCTCCTCTATGTCTCCCTCCCACCTTGATTTGATGAGAACGCGTTTGAATGCACCCATAAACCTCTCTGCTTGGCCGTTCGATCGTGGGTGGAATGGTGGAGACCGTACGTGTTTGATGACGCAGCATTTGCAGAACTCCGTGAATGTGGCCGAAGTAAACTGTGCTCCATTGTCCGTCACCAAGGTTTCAGGGCAGCCGAACCTGCTGAAGATTTGTCGCAACCTCGAGACTGTTGCGCTGGTTTTCGTGCTGTTCAGGAGGGACACTTCAGGCAACTTGCTGTAAGAGTCGACCACTATGAGAAAGTTCTGGCCATTGATTAGGCCTGCAAAGTCGACATGAACACGGCTCCAAGGTTTAGTTGGTTTAGACCACGAGTGGAGTTCCGTCTTCGGCGATGCCCTTGAAGCGGTAGCGCAGATGCCACAAGTTTTAGCTAGCTGCTCCAGCTGTTTGTCCATAAACGGCCAATACACACAACTTCGGTCATGCGCTTTCATTCGGTTGAGCCCTGGAAGTCTTGCATGGAACTGCCCCAGCACTCTTTCTTGCAACGCCTGCGGGATGACTAATCTCTCCGTGAACATGACGCAACCGTTCACAATGGAGAGCCAACGTCTTCGCTGATAAAATTGCTGCATTTCGGCAGATGAACACGAACGTGGCCAGCTGGTTCTGTGGAAATGTGTAACCTTCAGGATTCCGAAGCGTTTCGGCCCGCACAGCTTCGACCGTAACCGGTAGACCATGTAATGCCTCGGTCTCTAGGAATTTGACAGCAGGTTCGATCTCAAAAGAGGCTATGATGGTGTCCTCGTGTTATTGCCGCTGGAAATCAATAGAACGTGACAAAGCATCTACCTGGCCCATCGAAACTGTTGACGGATAAGGGGTTTCAAAATCATAGCCCAGCACGAAGTGCCCATTGTTAGAGTCTATTGGCTGTATAGGCAGGAATTCCCTTCTTCGAGCCGAAAATGGCCAGCAGCAGCTTGTGATCTGTCAAGGGTTTGAAGCGGTGACCATACAGCATCTTCACAGCAAACACTATAGCCAATGCCTCCTTCCCGATCTGACTGTAGTTCCTTTCAGCTTTCGTCAGCGTCCTGGCGGCATCTGCAGTCGCCTTCTGAGATCCATCGAGCCCTAGACTCGACGAGTCTGTGGGGAGGACAACTTCACAGGACGAGTCAAACTGAGTCAGGAGTAGGTCTGAAGCCAGCAATGACTTGACCCGCTCGAACGCAGTCTGGCATGCTGGCGTCCAATTCCAGGTTTGGCTCTTGCTCAGCAACTTATTCAGCGGGGCACGCAGGCGATGCAGTTGGGGCAGAGAAGCGCTGTAATGACTGATTAGGCCACAGAATGAACGCAGCGATTGCAACCCCACAGGTGGGAGCATTTTTTGAATAGCTCGGATAATTTCTGGATCAGGGCGACGACCGTCTCTTGAGAAAATGAAGCCGAGAAACTTGATGGTTGGTGTAAAAATGTACACTTATCTTCACGGATACGAAAACCATATGACTGGATGCGTACAAGCACTTCAGCATGCCGCTCAAATAGTTCTTCTGCCGTCAGATCCATTAAAATGATATCATCCATGTAGGCTGCGGCTCCAGAAACTCCCGCGAGCATGGCGTCCATTAACTGCTGGAAGATGGTTGGTGCTGTCTTCACTCCAAAAGGGAGGCGGTTGTACTGGTACAAGCTACGATGAGTGTTGATAGTCAGCAATTCTCTCGAGCTTTCATCAACCTCGACCTGGAGGTAGGCATCGGACAAGTCGATCTTGGCGAAACACTTCTCTCACCATTCAGCTTGGCAAAGATATCCTCTGGTATCTGGGTATTGATGGTCGTCCAATGCGGCATTCAGGCCAGACGAAAAATCGGCGCAGACACGTACTTTACCGTTCGGCTTTTTCCCAGCAACGATCAGCACAGCCCATGAAGAGTAGTTCACTGGTGTGATGAAACCGGCTCGCTCCGGTCAGTCGAGCTCCTGATCAACTGCTGCCAACGCTGTATACGGTACCGGTCATTTTGCTTTGAAGACTGGCTTAGTTCCTTCGCGAAGGCACAACTTTGCTTTGAACTTAGTGCAGTGACCGAGACCATCTTCAAACAAGGAGGCAAACATCTGCTTTAACATTCCCGTCATTTCTGCTATCGAGAATGATGCATGGACTGGATCAGTTTGGACTCTATTGCAAATCTGACTCATTGGAACATCAAACAGTTGTAACTTTTCCCTCCAGTCAAGCCCAAGGAGGCTCAAGCTTGGTCAGCCAGACCAGTAGCAGGTTCCGGCCTGTTCCACTCCGTTGAATGCAATTTGGCAATTTATTTCTCCGATCAGCTTCAGGACTCCACCGGATGCGTTGTGGGCGACTTTGTTGGAATCAACCATCCTCAACCTCTTTATGTCCATCTAAGTTTTCTTGGAAATGATCGTTATATCTGATGCCGTATAGAACTGCAGACGGGTTAGGATTCCGTTGATGAGCACAATGATAAATCGGCGGCGTGTTCTAGAAGCGGTGTGAAAAGTAGCAATCACCGATAGTGATTCCGCGTCAGGTTTTCTGAAGTTCTTCCTTCGGTAGGACTGCTTCACGTTTCTTGGAAGGGACTGATGACAAACGTCTTCCTTGTGTCCGCGTTTATGGCACTTATCACAAATGTGACGCTTGAATGGACAGTATCGTGCGAAATGCCATTCACCACATGACCAACAAGGTGTAGGCGGCTTGTTCGGCGCTCTGTTGAACGGCTTGTTCGAGCCAGCATTTCTTGCTTCTTGCACAGCATGAACAGTATCGTCAATGCTGGGGCAACTCTGCTCAATCATAACGGTGTCGCAATTCGAAGTAATCAACCGTTTGCATTCGCCTACCAGACTTCAATGTCAAATCTAGATCTTGATCCAACATAGCAAGGAGCCGAGTGCGGATTTCCGCCTAGCGTGGAGACTGTAAAGCACTGACAAATATGTGACACTTAAACTGGTCACGCGTCAAACATCGAACTTTAAACGTCCACGTTCATGGTTAACCATGTATGCTAGTGCCACATAATCGTTTGTATCACGCTTAACAACTTTTAGATATTGGTAGCAAATGCGACGTCTTTGGACGTCGACGCACCAAAAATTTCTTTATGTGTTGCCACTACTTCGTTGAAAGTGATGTCCTTCGGCTTTTTGGACAGGATGTGGTCAACGAATCTTGAATGTTCATCAGTACGGAGCTTGCGGAGCAAAAGACGCACGTTCCATGAGTCATCTTACCGACTGAAATCCGTCCGGAATATGCCCTCCCAGCGTTTGAACCATGCCTCGAAAGTGCATTCGGAATCAGCAGCATAATGAAAGTCATTGACTGCATTCGTAAGAAGATCAAGTGAAACAGCATGCGTGCCCCGTGTAGCTGTTCCTTTTGACTGTACGTTCAAGCACTGCGTCAAACTTTACATCAGTTCCATTCGTGCTTCCATCTGTGATTGTTGCTGAAAAACCAGCTTTTGAAAATGTTCGGCGGAAAAGTTTGTAACATTTTCGTGCTTGTCCGTCACCATTCTTAGATCTTCACATTTTCTCGCTATTCCGAATTAAATACGCAAAAATTTCTCCGCAAAAATTCTAGCCCAGCCGAAGAAAAATCAAAAGCCCAACAACCTTGACCACGAAAAACGTGTCAACAGGAGAAATGCAGAGAATGACACCAGCTATTGTACTCGCTGTCTGTCGACTTCACCAAGGCCTATGACACGGCAAACCGCGAGGCATTGTGGCTGTTGTTGGGTACATTTCGCTGTCAGTTAGTTTGTAATTGGATGTCTGCACAGTGCAATGCGGGCGAAGGTGCAGCTCAGTGGATAAACCTCGGATGACTGATGTTGTCCCTGTCGGTAGACATAAACAGACATAGACATAAAGACTCGTGCAAAGCGAAACTGGTTTCTTCTAAATTAGGCGTAATAAAACTCTCGTTAGGCGTAGTAAAACTCTTTTTGCGGCACGATAGCCGGCTGTTAGCTCTCCGGAACGATGTCCATCCGTTACTGGGGACTCAGGCGGCGTGCCTCTCTTGTATTTTTCTTGTCTTTTGTATCGCGGCACAATAGCTGAGGTGTTTTCCACCTGCATAATGATGAGGATGAATGGATGCATCGACTACATCTTCCATTTAGTCAGTCGTTGGATCACATCCGCAAAGATTGGCGACCCACTGTAATCGTCTCTTCAGTTCCCCGACTCGTCTGCGGTTAGCGGCCTCTGGTTGATTCTATCCTGATTTTGAACAAGATTTTTTCTTGTTAGATTTCTCCATGCACTGAAATTATTTCGGAGCGACTCCAGTCTGCTGGGACAGTTTCCTGCTCCAATTGCTTCACCAGTAAATTGTGCAAATCATCCAAAGTAGCAGAACCCCCGAATATGATGATGGCTGGATGCAATCCATCTCTTTCGGCAGCCTTGTCAAGTTTCGGCCGTCTGATCTCACTTTAGAATGAGAGGATGACCCATGGAGAAAACCGATCAATATTCGATAGAGAAGCTGGTAAGTTGGCGATACATAAAAGTTTCATATTGTAAGCTACTGAGGAATCATACAGAACAAGCAGAAGTCTGGATAGTTTAACGGAAATAAATGGAACAGGCCAATGGACGCGATTAAGGCAGAAAAATGATTACCATTTGAAAAAATTCGACGTGGTGTTTTGTGGCGAAGAAAACAATGACCTTTTCCTTTATCTTAACAGAAGCCGATAGTAGATGAAGAAGCACGGCGTTTTTCTCCTCCGGAAGGCAAGCAATGTTAACCAGCTGGGATGAAGTAAAAACACAAAGAGGTAAGTGAGGTATTAGTAAAAACTGGCACTAGGATCGAATGCTGCAAATTGTAGAATGTAGATGGATAAGAGCAGATATTCCATCCCGTTGCAAATTCAGTAGGAGTGCCTACAGGAGTTCTTTATGAGACTCTATGGACAACCCGCTAGATGAGCAAGCTAGTGTGTGGCAGGATCGAGACATGATGATAAAGGACAGAGCTGGTTAAAATACTGAGTAACCGAACCAAAATATGGATAACGGATACGCTCAAACTAAGCCACATCTGCGCATATTTAAAGGCGACAATCAACTGGAACTAACCAAAGCTACAAATATGAGTAAGAAAAATGTGATCGTTAGTAGTGTCATAACGCACTTTCAGTTCCCCAATTAAGACGAACGGTAACAGTATCACAAGAAGCACAAAGAAACACAAAAATCATGTTAACATAAGGCAGAATGGCATTTTGTCATTCCTTTGAATTCGGTAAACGTATTGCGTTGAAGTGTGCGTAAATGCTGACACAATCAGAAAAGAGTGTAAACTGTGAGGTTGCAGGATGCACAAACGGACGAGGGCTTCAACAATAAGCCAAAGGCGTCAGATTATATATATATATATATATATATATATATATATATATATATATATATATATGGTTGGCGGCATCCGTTTTCGGATTTGCCTGTCACTGTGGCAAGCCACAGGACGCCTGCGCATACAGAGGGACCATGGATGGCTTGCGCTGCACCACCCACAGCTCCAACCACATACCCCCATATCCAGTGTAAACCCGAAGGAATAAGACCGGGAGGCATGCGGATGGGCGTCACGTTTCATCAACGGAGCCGGCCCACACTCCTTCCCACGCAAACACAAGCACACTGTATTTGGGGATCAAGCGCACACAATGCGGTGGCTGGAACGTAGTCCGCTCCACATTGACTGCATGGAACCACTCTTTGAGCCTAACACGACCACAAGGACCGTGCACCCTGTCCCCTCCAGCAACGACCAACTGTCTCCTGGAGCCAGTATGGACGAGGTAGTGGGTAATAGACAGGTAGGCACCTTGTCAACATGCACATCAAGCGCATCCACACCGGGGATATCAAACAACAACCAAACACTTGAGAGAGAGAGAGAGAAAGAAAAAACTCGATTAATGCATAAGGAAACGGTGATATAAACCTTAATTAAATAGCATATGTAATAAGTTGTTTACAAACAAATCCTAGCAAGGTGCACGAGGTCAGGAAATATAGTTCACGGAATGCCACGAACACAAATATGCTACGGAAATCGAATACAATTGGCTTAGGCGAGGTGTGCAAGTTAATGGAATATAGTACTGGTAGACATTTATATGAGAAAGAAAAGCATTAAGGCACAAACTGTAAACCCACCACCTGAAATAAAGAGACTTAGCATGCAAGCACGCGGTTAGTAAATCGAATTCAGCGTGCCTACAAACGCTGCGCCGGCTCGCCGTAATTCTCTGCAGGACCCGCCGTCGCTTCTGTAGTGGCCCCAAATGGCACAGCTCATGGCCCACTAGACATTTATATGAGAAAGAAAGGCATTAAGAGAGAATCGCAAACCCACCACCTGAAATAAAGAGACTTAGCATGCAAGCATGCGGTTAGTAAATCGAATTCAGCGTGCCTACAAACGCTGCGCCGGTGCTGCATACGTTCACTGCTGGACCCGTCGGCGCTTCGGCAGTGGTCCCGAGTGATCTCTCTCATGGCTCACTAGGCCTGCCTGACTAAGGCACTCGCGACCGCATGTTCTACAGCACCATGCGCTCGATGTTGATGGAGTACAATTCATTGGTGCTTGCCGCTTCCGCAACTGCCGCTTCTTCTCTGCATGCATGAGGACTTTCTCCCGCACTTCAGCAAGTGCCTTCGTGATTAGATCGCGCCATGAACCACGATCAACCGCCTTCGATTCCCATGATCTGCAATCAAGATTAGAACGTGTGAGGCTCACTTTAATCATGTCCTGGTAACGTAACTTTGGTTTCCCCACGTGCCGCTTCCCTATACTCAGCTGACCGTATAAAAGTTGTTTCGGTATCCTCGTCAAATTCATACGGCTCACATGACCGAGCCATCTCAGGTGTCTCAGTAAAAGTATGCAGTCCACTGCATACATCCCACTTCGGCGCAACACTTCCGTGTCTGCAACTCTGGCGCCCCAACCGATCCGCAAAATACGTCGCACACACTGCTGATGGAACCGCTCGAGATATCGCACACCCCGACGGTACATCGTCCACGTTTCACTGCCGTATAGAAGGACGGACAGTACCATGGATTTGTACACCATCAGCTTCGTGCCAATGCTAAGCTGATGGTTGTTCCACACTCGGTACTCAAGCTTCCCGAATGCCGCTGCTGCCTTCGACACGCGATTACGCAACTCAACGTGTAGCTGTTGATCAGTCGATAACACATGTGCGGTGTAGAGAGAGCACTGAGCAAATCATATATATATATATATATATATATATATATATATATATATATATATATATGATTTGCTCAGTGCTCTCTCTACATCGCACATGCTATTACGGTCTCGTTCGTATGCCTAGTCGCGACATACTCATTTGGGTCGTGGTGCATCATGCACAAAGTGGGCCCACATGACTGTAATGCATTGGTGTTGACATTCCGCAGTTGTCAAGGCTGAGATTGACTACGGCCTCAATAACCAGACGCACTAATTCAGGTCACCATGCGCACTAGGAGTTTTCCTCTCTAGGTGCCAGTATCCACACAGTGACCGGAGCTCAAAAGCATGGGAACACGTTGGTTCGTCTGGTACGACAGTGCTTGGCAGTCTCAGTCACTGGAGCTTCACGGTCCATGCAGACCTAGTGTCCGACCAGAGTGTCACTCGTACTGTGAGTAACTTCGAGTTGTCTTCTAACGGCTCTGTGAATGTAGCTCTGTGAATATCAGAACCACGTAGGCCTTCCTGTTAGCCCTACTTTGTATGCACAATTAAAAGGCCACAAACGTGTGTGACGGATTCAAAGGAACACTAATGAATCCCTTAGATTGATCGCCAATCCTCAAACATTCATATCAAAGAGCCAGCGGTACGGGTGAAGCCGCTCGCATTGGAGCCGCGTTAGCTCCTGGCTACCAAACGGTTGCTGCTTACAATATTCCACATACGTTCGTGCATTCTAGTAAAGAATTTGATGTAGCGGTCAACAATTATCCCTGGAGCTTAAGTACTCTACAACGCTTCCTCGTTTTGGAATGTAGTTCGGAAGTTCGGGGTTCAAAGTCCAATAACTTTCGTTGCAAGTGTCCACATGTTGGCTCGTCCGTGTAAACTGAACAATCCCGGTAAGTAACTGACTAGTGATTTTCATGATGTTGACACATGTTCCGTTCCACATATTAGTCACGACAGTGAGGGTAGCTATATTTCCCGCTTTTCATCCGATATACTGAACTTAGGCGAGCTTAGGAAAAGACAGCTATCATGGAGATAAGAGCCAGAAGGGCAAAGGTGGCTGCAATAATTTGAATTAGAAACAGCCAATCATCTGGATTGACTTAGAAGTAGGTTAGTTCAACTGTGGTGGTACGGTAGTGCTTTAGTACATAATTCATTGAAAACTAAATTCACACACAAACACAATTGATTTGTGGCGCAGAATAACTGCAACCAAAATGGATAATGACAGATGGTTAGTAAATTTTAAGTGGCAAAATTATAATGAGAAATGCAGGCTGGATTTTAAGACTATACGTCAGCTAGCCACCTTATCTGCACCATCTGCCGAGGCTCTTGATACCCATTATTTGTCTACTCCCATGCGATTAACCATACAACGCTTAATGTTTTCATTGCAAATCGCATCATGAGTATGAAGATTTGCTGCGGATAATATTAGCTGACATTCATTGCTTTCCTAGAAGTCTAAGTGGTTCCATTCGAACCGTCGCTGTTAGATACGACCGCACCCATACTGTGTAACATGCCTAGGTGTCCCACTACATACCCACTTGAGAGATTCTCCAGTCACAGGAGCGGCCCTACCCACCATTCTATGCGGTGTAAAGCGAAGCAATCGCGTAGGGTTGTTGAATCCATTAAAAGAGACGAGCCAATTCCGCCCAGAACTACTCCGTATTGTGATCGTGTTGAACGGTCGCAACTGTGGTGATTTGCCTTCTTTCTGTGCCTCGCAACGACCCGGTTGTTCTGGGACTGAAGAATGTACATATTGAAGTTGAGTTCTATTTTATTTAATTGTACCCTAGTTAACGTCTCGCCTTCCTTTCTTGGTTGGAATCGGAATTTTGGCACAGTTGAAGTGCAGGATAACCCGAAACCGTCGTGATAATCGTCGATCTTAACACCCACATCAACAGTTTACATTAAGTTTTTGGACAAAATGTTTCGAAGGGGGTAGCTGCGGTCGGTCGATAAGCTGGAAGGCGCAACTAGTGTGACATTTGATGACCCGATTTACGATTGGACAAGGGGAGAATAAGGCGTTAGTCTCTAGCATTGCCAAGAAAGATGCGTGCAGAGCAAAATAACACTTAAGTGGGTGTAGCAGTTCGGCTTCACAAACGAGAAATAGGTATATTCTAACTTCCGAAAAATGCCAAATTAGGAAGAATTGGAGTAACAGAAGAGACACAAAGAACTAAGGAAATAAAAGCAATCATATGCTTAAATGATATTGCAGATTGCCTGGGCTGCTTCCTGTCAGGACTTCTTGATGTCGACGCCTAGCTAGAGGAAAGTAAGAAACTATTAAAGTTTAACCGCGGAAATAGGCAGGAAAACGCATCTACGACCAGCAAATAGCTATTCAACAGCGCACTTAGGTTGTCATAGCTAAATGAGACATCCGGGGGCGCAGCGTTACAGCAGTGAGTGGGATAGGCTCTCATGAGAAACGGAAGACGACTTTTTACAATAAAGCGCCCAGTGACGGAGCAGTGTGTAAATTGAAAAGGGTATACTCGCAGAAATCCACGAAATTGAGCGCTCTAAAGCTACATATTTGTAAGGAAGACCACTATGTTTACGAAACGCACACTTATTAAGGCAATCGCCAGTAAACCCCTACACACTGTGTTCACTTTATTTGTAAATGATGGGCACATAGACACCTATAGCGGCCGCTCTCTCAAGAATCTACCTAGCGGCAAGGGAGATTCATTGGTCAGAGGTCAAGTATGTAAACCTGGTGGTATACATCATGGTAGAAAAGCGATAAGGCGGCATAAGGAGACGGTAATGATAAGCGTTGTGTTGTAAGAAGTGGAATTGCAAGAGTAATAAGAAGTAAGGGAAAACCTTCAAGGAGTGTCCTAAGGAAAATTAGGGTTGAAAGAGCTAAGTCAGAACGGTAGCTGCTTTGTTTATGTTGTTAACCTATCTCAAGTTAAAAAGGCCTATTAGATCATCGTAAACTTGACAGAAATACATGAAGCAGGTAGTTAGGCGACACAACGTCACCACCTGCTAGTAACAAAGCTTGACTCAGATCAACAAAGGAAAATAGAACAAATATGTTTCTAGATGCCCTTTAGGCACAATGGCAAACCAAACTAAACCACTAGTGAAACCGCAGAGAATCGGAATGAAATAGACGCCAGATTTCGAACAAACTTTGAGATTGGGACTCAGCTTTTTGTCCACATCCAACCGAAGCAGCACAGGATCTGTGAGCCCAGCGCGTGCGAATTCGATTAGATTGCCTGGTAACGTGGCAGAAAGTATCAACGTTTGACGATCGCGAGGCAAACGATGGAGCAGTTCTGTTAGTTGTTCCGAAAATCCCAATTCAAACAGCCTGGCGGATAACAAAGACCACAATATAAACCAAAGCAGCGCAGCGAAAATTCTTTTTTAATGTAGTAGACTAGTAAATTTCGGGAAAACCATTCATGAATGTACAGTTCGATCTTACTGAAAATACTTTAGTAACGAAAGCTGGTTCGAGAGATGTATCGAAAGATATATAATGTATTGATTAACGAGAACACTGTACGGTTATGACTCATAATAGAATGTTAAATATAACTAGGCAAAGGTGAGCGACCAAGTTGACAGAAACCCAAAGGCTGAGTGAGCGGCAGTGACACGGATGTGGATGATCCATTGACCTAACTACTGGTCCATTCACGCTTCCATCGCGAACATAAGCGTAACACTCAGTAGTATCGATTACCGAGTTAAAACAGTAGTAATGAGTCCGGGTGAAGAACACCGCAACTGAACTCGTACCTGCATTCAAACGTTCAAAACTTACATAAACGTCAACTCCTCGGTCAGTACGAGTTTCCTAAGTGAATAGGACTATAGGCACACACAAGGACAAATGCATCTTAATTAATACGAAATAAGAGTTGATGGGTATTGTAATAAGGAAAATTGCATACAATACTATGTGCAAAGGGAAATAACCAAATTATTTGAAAGGCGTTCAAATGACGTGTCAGTAAGTGGCACCTAAATCTAAGACCCAAGTAGATTGTTGTGGTACGATGACTCGCAGTAATCGTCGTGACTAAATAACGAAGCTAATTCAGTTTAATAACTTAACCCCAATTCAAACGGAGAAACAAAGGGTAGAACAAGCACAAGAATCGCTAACAGAAACAAGGAAAATTGTGTAGTGCCGCCAATGACTAAGTTGCTTAAAGTAATAAAAAGCAACAAATGCAAATGCCGTCGACATTGCGGATCTCATACAAAAGCGTGACGAGCCAAAGTGATCCCGAGTTACAACAAGTCACTTCATGTTGCTTTGGCAGGCCTGGATTCGCTGAGCCACATCAGGTATCGGACGATCGAAGAACATGAGTTGCACTAAGTGAACTGGTTAGATGCAAAATAGCTAGTATATTTGTTAAAAATTCGCTGGCAAACAGAAACTTGCATCATTTGTTCATTTTACAAACTAGAAGCCTCAGCCACAGTGCCGCAATACAAAAGGGAGACGCTAAAAACGGTACAAAACAATATACAAGTAAGAGAATGCCAGGTAGCATACTATGCATTGATGGTGAGATTGTTGGAGGCTAAAGATAAGCACAAAGGCTGAGGAGAAAAAAGCGCACGACACACGACACCGAGATCGACTATTCGCAATGTCAACCAGTATATCCAACCAAATGCGTACATCGGCTTACCGACACTAGCCCGACAGTCCGGAGAGACAAACCGACGCCAAGTTCGAAGTGAGAATCTTATTACCTTTTGGCCAAGTCATCGCTTGGCCTCCCTTTTTCCTCTTCCATCCAGATCACGGTCGCGCAAACAATGCACGACGTGAATCGGTGTGCTGGCATGCGCGATACTTGGTCCGGCCATCGGAACCTGGTCCGTAATTTAATGGTGCTCAGCGGTTCTCTCGTTTTTCTTGTGTCGAAAACACGACACCGAACATGTTCATCGCTCACATAGTGTTCCCACCAGCTGTCAGCTAAGCTGCGAAGGCACTAGTTGGTTGGGCGCAACCAGAATTGTTATGACTATTGATCTGATGGGTCAGGTTGCGCAAACATACAGGAGGGTTGAATGGCTGGCCAAGTGGTAAACTCAGTTCTTCAGAGCGAGAGTGACGTTGCGTCAGCACCACAGGTGGCGGAAGACGAAAAAGCGTCTCGTAATTTCGCTCCACGGTTGGTGATGTGATCTTTTATTCCACAGGCGCTAATACAGCTTCCTAGATACTTGAATTTCTTGGCGACTTTTAGCTGATTACCACGAAGTGTCCGTGAAAAAATGAGTCCCTGACAATCATGGAAAAGGACTCCGCATTTCGAGGGTGCAAAGCAAAACGCGAGATGATTGACAGCCAGTGCTGTTGGCACGTTTAGAAGCTGTCACATACAAGGGCAATGTCGTCGGTGTACTCCAAGTCAGGTATTCGATCACGAGAGCAACTCCACTATTTATAAGCCGTTTTCAGAGAACGCAGTTTTCAGACCAACGTCAGTCGCGAAATTATAAAGGAAAGATGGCAATGGGCAACATTGTCTCACACTGATGGACATAATGACAACGAGAACTTGTCAAGAGCTCTCACTCGGCTGCACTCACAAGTATAAAGCGCTTTGATAATGTTTACGTATTTCTTGGTCACATTTTTCCTCAGCAGACAGTCTCAAAGGGCACATCGATCTACCGAATCGAAGACCCATTTGATGCGTGGAAAACGAACATGGTGGGTTGCTGATATGGCAGTGCGCCAACAACTCGCTTAATATGAAGATGAGATCAAAACAGCTCTGACCACGCAGAAACCCGCCTTGATCTTCGCTAGTATGGATTTCACGGGTGCCAGCAAGTCTATGGAGAAGCGCGGATGCAAGTGAGTTAGAAGAAATTCATATCGGATTGGTCACACTGTGATTTCTATGTCTATGAAGTCAGCCACCTTTGAAAATTGGGACTAAAACGGAGCACCTGCTCCCACAGCTTTACTAATAAGTTTCTCAAAGCTGCCACAAGAGCACGGTCCGGAATTTTAAGAGGGCTGGACGAAACTAATGTGCGCCTGCAGTCTTATTCAAATTTAACAGTATCATTTCACGTTCGACTTCTGCGTGTGAAAACACTTCCAAGGAGAAGGGTGGTCAATGGCCGATAAGGAAGTTAGTCACTATCGCTGATTAAACTGCTGTCCAAAGTGTTCGATCCAACGCTCTAAGCATTTTGACAAGCTACAGATTGACTGCCAACTCTCACTGCACCAGGTCTGCTGCTGCCCGATTCTCGTATCAGACGAAACTTGCAGGCAGCAGCTGTTTACATCTCCGATGGAAAGTGAGACCACTAGACTTCGCGGTCTATCGCAGTTTCCCTCTGACGTCTGCGAGTCTAGTCGTGTTCGCTTCCAGCCGGAATGTGATGAGCATCAAGGAAAACCAAGGGCTGTGTAAAGACAATATCAAGGTTGGCAATGTGATTTCCGCATGAAGGCGTGCCTGTTGCTAATAACGTCTGACGGGTATGGGACTAGTGACTTTCAACTTCGATCACAGTGCTCAATCAACCCGCATGTCAACGCAGTTGGATATGCATTTAGAATACTTGGATTCGCTAGTTGGCTGGTGCCCATGCGTTCACAGCGTCATCGCAGGCGCGCACGGAAGCGAACTTGACCGGCACATTTAAGTGAGTGGTTGGAATGCACGCTCGTGCAACAAATAAAGCGACAATTTCGGACACAGCCTCTCCAGTTTTAACTGATAGCGATTTGATCAATTTGCGTCCATGGCTAGTGGGCGCCAGGTCACTCTCCCATGGGTGCTGTGTCGGTAGTTCGTGCTTGCGAGGAATACACGAGTAGGCGTAGCGAGTGCTCATCGTGATTACTACGGAAGCCTACATCGTGTTGGACCGTTTTCCAACTCAGGCGTTCAGGTCACCAGCAAGCACCACAGTTTCCGTACATTTTATGCAACGAAGGAGCATATTCAGTTGGTGGTAAAAGTTATCTTCCGTCGAATCAGAGCCACGGTTTGTGAAGGCATAGGCCATAATGACAAACAGGCACCGTCTGTCTGCGTACAATTGACAAGGCGCATTATTCGCTAAGGAATTTAAGGAATATTGTAGAGGGGCCGCTTCCAAGAATGCCTCGGGGGAGCTCTTCGGAGCTAGCTGAGAGCGGATCGAGAAGGACGGCTAGCGACGAGCCTGGGCCCGGAACTACGGAGCGGGAATATGTGGACAGCGCAATAAATCAGACAAATACGCAGCTAGCGCAGCCCACAGGACCGAGGCCGAGCCGATTGACACAGCCCAGAACAAGCAAGTCGAGAGCTCTCGAATGACTCCTGGCCGATCCAAATCGGGTACAGAGAAAGGGAGATCGAGGCAAAAACAGGAAGGCGGGACTTCCAAGTCAGAGCTCCCGAGGCGAAAGGACTGGCTCGTCTCTAACATCCGTACCTGTTTTGCGTGGTGGGACGGAAATCTAGTCGATATTCGATGGCGCGCGTGAGACCCTCATGTGTCCATTTTCGGTGTGCAATAAACGTCTACCCCCCCCCCTGTCGTGTCGTTCTCGCTACAATATGAGCATGACATCATAAACGCAGGTCAGGCTCGCTGCATTCTTAACGCACAGATGACGTTGTTCTCGCTCACCACGCGATGCTAACGGTAATGCATCGGCACATCCTCTGCACCGGGCCCGTAAGCCAAAATGTTGTTATCACGGTAGCCCTTACAATACGCAAGCGATACTCTTCTGTAATATGACTAATAGGAACAGCGATGGCACAGATATGAAGGGGAGAAAAAAGCATGCCATCGCACTATTTCAGTTATCGTAACCTGAGTGGGGTCGCACCATCAAATTGCACCGCCTACTAAATTGTATACGCGCATTCGGCTGGGGCTATCGAGAACTTCATGGGATTCTCTTTATTGTGAATATACTCCCCAGCATTTCCAAATATGGTACATCCAAGCGTTATCTAAAATGCCTATAATAAACCCAGTCAGTAGATGCGTAAGAGAGTTATTGGGAAAATTGTCACAACGCTTACGGTCACCGTAGCATTATTTGCAATCCGGTTAAGTTTGGCTTATGACCACTAGAAATAAATGCATCAGTGAACCGCGTGAGACCGTAAACCGTGAGACCTATGTAAACCCGTGAGACCTATGTAAACCCGTGTAGGATCTCATCGTCCACCTTTGGCAGCGTGACCGATGACACCAATGACATACTGGTGGTGAATATTGTAAAACGATAGGTACTTATCGCGTGTATCTCAAACCCCTCTGCTTCAAATGAGGGTTCCTGTTTTACTTTGATGTTACCATATATAG